AGGAGGCCCAAGGCCTGGCGAAGAGGTGGGTGGGGGTGGGTGGGGCGGGTGGGTGGGGGCGGGTGGGTGGAGGTGGGTGGGTGGGGGTGGGGGCGGGTGGGTGGAGGTGGGTGAGGGTGGGTGGGGGTGGGATCGTTGGGGGTTCTTGGGGGGGGATTTGGGGGGCATTTGGGGGGATGTGGGGCAACACGCAACACATGGGGCCCAGAAGCCGAACGGGTTGTGTTGTGTGTGTGTTGTTTGGGGGGGAATCAAGCATCTCCATCCTCTTATGGTCTCCGCACATTCCACAAAATATAATTCCCTTGTGGTTCCCTTGAAGGGCTTGGGATCCCTATATTTAAACTGTGTATGAAAATATGCTTTGTGTGTGTGTTTGCGTGTTTGTGTGCTTGTGTGTTGTGTATTCTTACGTGCCTCAGATTGTCGCTGGTTGGTGCTTTGGAGTGGTCCGAATCCAATTCCAAACCACCCACCCAAGCTACCAATTAGGGGCTGCCTGATTGCTTGCCTGAAGATACTGGAGCACAAGGCTCTCGGGACCATGCCCAATGAGACCTCAAACGGGTTTCCGGCTCAAACTATGACCGATAATCTCACTTGCCCAAAGGACCCAGAAACAAAAGGTTGACCTTTTGGGGTCATGGCCAAAAATGGACCAAAACTGGAAAACCCAAAGGTTAAAAGGTCGATTCGCTTTGGGCAACTGAGTAACTCCACGCAAAACCATCCTCGAATGGATCCCAGGAAAGCCCACGTAGAAGAACAACTAAAACTTGTCGATGGTTTGGGAAGGGTGGCAAGCCATTGGTTACCTACAAATCCAGGTATACGGTCACCAGTTATCTCTTTCGTTTTGGTTTTTGAAGGGTGGCAAACCCATGATTGCCTACAAATCCAGGTATACAGTAACCAGTTATTTCATTCGTCTGGGTTTTGAAGGGTGGCAAGTCCTTGGTTACCTACAAACTCAGGTTTACAGCAACCAGCAATTGTTTTCCTCTTGGTTTCTACAGGGTGGCAAGACCTCGGTTGCCTACAAACCTAGGTATATTTAGTAAGTAGCTATTTGTTGTTTTGTTTTTTGAAGGGCTGCCTTGGTTACCTACACGCAACTGGATCCACTGGGTCCACGTGGCACCAGTCAAACCTAAAGAGGTCACCGAGTCCAGCGATCGGAAAGAGGCCTCTGCCAGAATGACCAGAGGCGTCCTCACCGCGCAATGCAGAACACAAGCAGCGCAGAAACGTGGAGTATCCCTAGGTGCTTGGACCCCCAAATCTGGGCTCTCCGTTTTCGGATTTGCGAAAAGTGACGAACTGAACCTGGACCTTCCTTCGTTACATAAAAAGCACTTGCTAATCGGGCGTTTTTCGAGGGAACGGGCGCAAATTTGGATTCGAGTGTTTTTGGCAATTGCGGCGGCTTCTCTCTTCTCATATAGTTTGTTGCGTGGAAACATGTGAAACATAATACCCGCACAACGGGCGCAAATACCCGCAAAACGGGCGCAACTACCCGCAAAACGAGCGCAAATCCAAATAATGTAACAACTGGTATTTTGCGAGAAGCCCGTGTTTATGAAACGAGTGTTTTCTTGGGGAACGAGCTCTTTTTGCAAAAATAGTTGGCCCGAGCAGTTTTTTTCTTTTTCCGTGACACACACACATTTACGTAACAATGGAATGGTCCAGCTTGTGGGCTATATATGGAAACCCCAACCACGAAAAGCCAACTAAAAATTGCCAACATAATAAAAACCTAAGGGGCCGGATGGCTGGTTGAGCCACGAAATGTGAACACCTGCAAGCTCCAAGGGCCGGGCGAATCAGGTGTTCAGCTAGGTACCCAGGGAAAACCCTCGAGAGGACAAAATGCGTGGCAAAAAGGTGACTGGGATTCACGGGGGTTGGTCTCAAAAAGTGCGGGAGCCCCGCCAGGAAGTTCACGAAAAGCAAACCAGGAAGCTGTGAGCCATGCATTCTGTTCAAAGACCAGGTCGTGATTGGTTTGCGGGGAGATTCCCGATTCCCCATTCTTTTCCACCATCGTCCTTTTCAATTCCCGGCTGTTTTTGCCTGGGGTTCCGGAGACTCTCTATAAAGAAGGAACCCTGCAAAGAACGGTTGGAAGTGTCTCCTAGAACATAGTTCAAAGTTCAACTCCGGTAGTGGAGAAACAGCTTCCATTTGCTTAAGTCCCTTGGAAAAGAATAAACCCCTTAACCAAGAGAAAATCAACCATGTGCCATATGCTGACACGCAAATGGAAGGTTAATAAAACACAAAACACACACACACAAAAGCATCTTATGCTCTTTTTCTTTTCTTTTCTTTTGGGAGGGGAGGCCGGGCGGGGAGAGCATAGTAACGGCCAAGCGAATAGACAACGATTTACCATACCCTCGAGTTAGAATATAATTTAATTGCTCTTCGCCTAACCAGATACATTTTCGAACTGCTAGACCGTTGCCATGAAACGGAGGATGAGACAACCCTAAACCCACTAAGCCCTGAAAAACACTACACACCTCCTGGGAACCCAACAAAAAAAGGTGCGTGTGCGCGCGTGTGTGTGTGTGCGCGTGTGTGTGTGTGTGTGTGTAGATGTGTAGATGTGTAGATGTGTAGATGTGTAGATGTGTAGATGTGTAGATGTGTGTGTGTGTGTGTGTGTCTGTGTGTGTGTGTCTGTGTGTGTGTGTGTCTGTGTGTGTGTGTGTCTGTGTGTGTGTGCGTGTGTGCGTGTTTGCTATTGTGTTTGTATCTGTGTGTGTTGTTGTGTTTGAGACTGTTTTGTGGTTTGAGTTTGCTTGTATGGTTGCGTTTGTGTTTGCGTTTGTGTTTGTGTGTGTGGTGGTGTTTGTGGTTGTGTTTGTTGTTGTGTGTGATTGCATTTTTGTGTTTGTGATTGTTTTTGTGTTTGTGTGTGCGTCTGTGTTTACGTTTGTGTTACTTTCGTGCGTGTGTGTTTGTGTGTGTGTGTGTTCTTGTTCGTGCTTTTTGGTGAATATGTTTGTTGTGTTTTTGTTGTTTGTGGTTGTGTGTTTTTGTGTTTGTGTTTGTGGTAGTGTTTGTGTTTGCGTTTGGGTTTGTGTTTGTTTTTGTGTTTGCGGTTGCGTCCTTGTTTGTGTGTGTTTCTGTGGGTGTGTTTGTTTATGCGTTTGTGTTTGTGTTTTGTTTCCATATGTGTGTTTGAGGTGTGGGTGTTGTGTTTGTGTTTGTGCTTGTCACAGTGTGTGTGCTTGTTCTTGTGGATTGTGTTTTGTTTGTGTTTGTGTCATTGTTTTCGTGTCATGTTTGTGTTTTTGTGTTTGCGCTTGTTCGTGTTTTTGTGTTCGCGTTTGTTCTTGGTTTTGCGTTCATGTTTTTTGTGTCTGTGTGTGTTGTGTTGGTATGTGTGTGTTTTTTGGGGTAGGGTAAAACGTCCTGGAACCTTTGGTCTCACGGTCAACAGGCGCCTACTCAGCTGGTCTTCCGTGCAGACCATTCCAGGTGCCTAGCGCGTCAGACCAAATACGTATGCGTGTAGGGGGACCCCCAAACTACCCCGCTAGGGTGGTTTTTGAACAACCGGGTTTTCCAGAATAGCTACCTCATTTTTTAGAAGAGGGTTGACATGATACCCTCAACGCAGCGGGCATTTGGAGTAGGGACCCCCAGAATAGGTTTCCTTTTGGATTCGTTTTAAAACCACCCCAACAAAGGAACCAGTCAACTGGCCGCCGGATAAGTGAGACAACTTTGTTGGGCCCCTGTGTTTTGAAAGGGAAATCTTGAACAACCCATGTTGTGATAGCCCTGAACGAAATCCACAAAACGCACCAGTTGGAATTGGTGCCTTATCAACAAGTATTCAAATCAGGCCCGTACCGTTGTCAAAGTCATCCCCTAAGCAGGTTAAACCGGGAACACCTGACTTGGATCACTACCAGGAATAGTCAAATCCATGCGCATGGTTCTTAAATGAGGCACGGTTTTTTGAGAGTCCCCTATAGTTTGCCATGGTTTTGTGTATTTCCACAACATCAGTGAACGCCGAATACTAAAATCAGCAGAAGTAATTTTGACGGCGCTTCAAACAACACTTGAGCACAAGTAAGACAACTTGCGGGGGCAAGCAGCATGGACCCGCCAGTCCTTCCTTGCGACACTCGCGACATTTTGCGCGGCACGGTTTCAAATGCTTTGCCTTCGTCAACTGAGCTTGCGGTTCTACAACTAGGTCCTCCAGTAGAGAGGTTAGAATAAGGGTACCCTTTTTCTGTAGTCTATTTTAGTAGGGGAACCCTCCCAAAAAAAAGGAAAAGGGCTCTACTGGGCGACCTAGACAAGCATTCAGCAACAACAAACAATACTTGTGAGGGCCATGAGCAACATGGTTGAGGCACGATGAAAAGGATCCAAAAGGACCTGGGACATGCAAGTCCCTGATTTGTGTGGGAATTTGTGAGTCGCCCATGTCTCTCCCAAGTCATAGACGTTTGTGCAAACCTCATATCTCTTCACAAGTACTACTTTCAAGTGCAGTTGTAGAACGCAAAGGCCTGTACACTGCCGATCTGTCACCCACAGCAGCTTCAGACTGTATGGTGGCTCGCACTACGGCGTGAAACGCTTAAAGCTGGGGTTGGTCTTCGGCCTCTGTGAAACAAGTTGTGTTGCCAGTTGGTGAAGAAATCGCTTCCATTCGGGTCAGTACAAAGGATCAGGTGAAATCAATGAACAAGAAACCTCGGGTTGCCAGTTCCAATCGGCATGTACTCTTGTGGGCTGTCCTTAAAAATCGCTCGTTAAAAGTTTCACTGTTGGCTAAAAGGAAACCCAACCACTAAACCACCTAAAACCAGCTAAGAACCTACGGCACCGGACCAATCCCAACCACTTAACCAACTAAAAAAAACTCGAAACAGCTAAAAGCAACAACAACTAATATCAATTTAATTTTCCTACGGAAAGCCCGGGAACCGCCCGGGGTATAGGGTGAAACCGTCCGAAGCTCAGGCGGAGTCGCCGCCGGCTCCGCCGGCTCCGACTTTGCGGCGGTGCCAGCGGGCGAAGGTCGCGGACAGCGCGGAGCAGGCGAAGACGCCGCTGAGGATGGAGGCGCCCGCGCAAAGCCTACCGCAGACAACGTCAATGTCACTACCTTACATATGTTGAATAGACCAAGCTGAATCAAACCTGTATCCATCTATCTGGATATCTAGTATAGGTCAACCCCCCCCCCCCCAACAGTGATGGTTTTCCTTTGAAACCACCCAAAAAGCGTACCGTGTCCCTTTTTAGGGAGCCCCCGCAACGATAGATTATACACCTGAGCATTGCCTTGTAACCGGTGGCTTCCCCTTATTTTCGTGTGGAAAAAGCCATGTTTCAAATGGGCAAAATGTATCTTTTAAGGAGCCCTCTTAAAGGGGCGGGGGACTTAGTAAATGGTTAGTAACCATGGCTATAACCCACTTACTGGCGTGGCTTGGTGCCCGATTTTTCTCCTGTTTTTTGGGAAGGGTTCCGTGAAACACCGAGGATCCCCCAGTGGCCCAGTGGGTTGGTGCCCGTTTTTTTGTTGGGGGGGAAGGGTTCCTTTTTCTCCTTTAAAGTCGAACAACCAAAAAAAAGAGAAAAACGGGGTTCACTGGACCATGGTGTTTTTTAAATGGGGAACCACCTCAAAAGAAGTTGGATGAATCTTCACCTGAGAATGTCCCCATTTCGAAATGGTCTTCTATTGAAATCACACCCATTTCCGGTTGCCCAGTGGGTGGCTTCCTTTTCCCCTTTTATTTGGGAAGGGTTCCGATCCCACCAACCAAAAAAGGTGCTGTTTTTTGGGCCATGCTTAGTGGTAAGCCATAGGTAACCCTTAGTTGGTGGCTTGGTGGGCAGGCTCCCTGGGCATTCAAATGCACGCTCCCTGGGCATGCAATCATTGCCGAACCTGACCTATTTCACGGATTCTCAGGGTAATATGGGGGGTGCCCCTGAGTTTAGTATCGGGGTCAACATGACCCCTTAGTTGCTGCTTTGGAGTGTTTACGTTTTGGGGGGGGTGTTCCTGGGTGAAACATCCATAGCTACTAACCACTCACTAAGTACCCTCCCCCTTTAAGTAGGGGACCTGAGTCACAATCAAAACCCGGTATTAAAATGGTTGACCCAGAACCATGTAAGGAAATACGAAGGCGGCCGCAACTATTTATGGCTGGGATTGTTCCTTACTACGACAGGCCTCATGAGAAAAAAAAAAACTCTCATCCCCCAAAGCGGGGACTCCCAACAAAGGCACCCTATTAGCCCCTAATAGGCCTTATTAGTCGCTAGCCCCTATTCGGATTCGGGGCCCCTATTGGGAGGCCGATAACCAAAGGAAAGGGACCCAGGGACACCCGCATCCTTCGAATTCGGGCCCAGCTGCCGCTTGGTTGCGCTGTTGGTTTCAAAGTCGCACGAACTACGCTTTTGAGCTTTCCTCGAAGTGGTGATTCGGATTGGTGGCTTGGAGGGTGGGCGGGGGGGGGGTCCCATTTACCAGCAATCCACCACCAATTGCGTCCATTTGCTTAAGTTCTGTGGGAAACATCCAGTAGTAGTAGTGATCATTTCCCTTTAAAACCAACAGGCAAAAATATGGCCCACAAGTGGAAATCCAAAACGTCAAAAGGTCGGCTTTGGGTAGCTGAAACATTCCGAAGTCCCTGACAACAAAAAAAACATGTTTCCAGTAGTGATCGTTTTCCTTAAAAACCAATATCGGAAGTCAACATGCTTCCTAAGCAGACGGGAAGTAACCTGCGGCGGCTGAAGGGAATAAACGATTTTCTTAACCAACTGGAAGACTTGGGTTGTGGATGGACACCCACAAAACCGGGCTGCCCTCAGATCCCCCGCTAAAAGTTTAACTGTTAGTGGTTTAAATGGAAACTACCACTAAACACTACAAGGCTAAAAAGCTAAGGGGATGGCTGGGAGCCACCAAGAAAACCAACACGGACAACGGTGCAGATGGCGTACCCACCGGACTGGCAACTGCTCGGAGGTTCAACCAAAACGGTAACCAAGGCCACAAGTCAGCCAATGGATACTCACTTCCGATCATAGGCGTCCTTTAGGCGAAATAGATGGCCCTGGTAGATGATTAAACCACCACCGCTTTTTTCTACCAAAACAACCAAAAAGGACACCTATGCTTCCGATCGAGTGGATGGGAAAAAAAAAACAAAACAACTTGTTCAGTGCCACTACCCCAAAAAGCGACTGAAGTCCAAGACGGACCTCAGGAATAAGACTAAACAGGCACATCCAAATGAAGTGTCTTTGTCTTCTTTTGGGCGCCCTATGGGTGGTATTCCTTTTGTGTCCAAACAAACCAACCTCAAAAAGGTCGCTTTCCCTGAAAAACTTGAATCCATGGAGCCAAGGTACAGGTGTCCCTCGGAGTAGTAAGGCAGACCCGTCCAGGAGGATTTGACGCACTGGGACATCGTCAGCTGGCAGAAGCAGCGACTAGCCAGCGCGCCGCACAAGAGCGTCATCACCTAGCGACTGGGGTACCCTCCCGTCAGATAGAACTTGTTCCATGTTAGTAGGCTACAGGGACAGAGGGTGCAATTGCATAAGGGTCGTTGAAAGGGAAGGCAACAGGAGAAGCAGCTACTAAGCATCAGATTTCGGACTGAGGGGGCTCGGACCTCCATTGCAAAGTGTTGGAGCTCATTTCAAATGCCTTGAGATCCCCTGCTCATTCTTAGGGTTGCTTTTCAAGAGAACAAACAGCTGGGAATTCCTTAGCATGTTGGAGACGCTTTGACAATTGATGGCTCTGGTACATGGGGCATATCCACCAGCGGAACTGAACCCCTGTTTTTCCGACCAAAGCAACCTATATAGATTCAATTTTCTACACTATCAACTTGCAAAATACAGCTCCAGCTGCAGAACGGAAGGACCCATTTGTTGCTCTCAAATCTGCAACGGCTTTTTGGGCCTCCAAACCACAATCCAGAGGGTCCCTTTTGACCACCCCCCTGACGAGTCTCCCTCTCAATTCGGTTTGCCGGTTTTTCGAGGCGAGAACAAATCAGTTCAGCTTGGAGACTTGGGTATTCGGCCAAGTAAGTTGTTGGAAACCTGGGTTCTAAGCCAGTCACAAGTTCCCCCTAGGTAAAATTAACCCTGTTCTTGGTGGGCTGGCCAAGCGCTTACGAACCTAGCCGCAAAATCAAAGTAGCTTTCAATTCTAAAGCCGATCCAGACCTATCCAACCTCAGGAAAACGGCTCGAGGCCTGACATACATCTAGGGGTAACTTCCACTTCCATTCTTTCCAGGGATCCTTCTTTCAAGAAAACCACCAACAACCCTGAACAAATTGGCTGGTGTTTGAAAAGAACGATGGCTGCAAAGAATGGAAAAGGAATCAACCCCTAGAATAAATTGGACACATTGGCGTCTGGATTTCTATTAGGAGGTTTTGGTCCTCAAGGCCTTTGTTCGGGAGGCCCCAATCGGGGCATCTGGAAATTTAACAACACGGCCTTCACATCACGGGGGAATCCAGCCCTATAAGGGAACCACCGCGACAATTCCCCAGCAACAAGGAACCTGCCTGGACTGAAACTAACATTTTCCGGATCACCTTTTCAAAACCCGAAAAGTGGCCCCAAAAAGAACCGAACGGTTACAGCAAACCTCCATGAAGGGGTCGAACTGGTCCTCCATTGGAAGGGGTTGGACCTCGAAAAGGGGCATTTTTTTCGAGGGCCCAAGATGCTTAGGGGAGAAAGCTATCGTAAGCACCGAAGATTGAACATAAGTCGGACCTTTTGAAAGGTGCCGAAAGCTTTCCGGAATCCCAATGGAAGCGAAAATTGTAGATGTCGAAAATGAGACCTTTGCATATCTCAACAAACGGCTGTTGACAGCAGCATGAGCTTGACTGTTTGCAGCTTGGAAACACTCTCACACTCACTCAATTCAAGCAAAAGGTTTCAGGCCAACCGCCGACAACAAACCGCCAAGTCGCTGATTTCCAGGCTCTCAATCCCACTGAGGTGTCCGAAATACGTCCTCGTCTCTGGCTGAAGAGGTTCCAGATGAGCTGTGCAACAAACATCAGGCACCTGAACCAGATTGATCCGACCTGCTGCAACAAGTCCAGTTTCTTGCTGATTAAATGGAAAGGATGTTGCGAAACCCAAAGAGCAAAAAAGCTAAGTTCTGCAACGGCGCAAGATGATCACCGTCTGCTTCAACGCGAATTGTACCGCGGATTGCTTGGCCGAGACATCTGCAAACATCCTTGGACAACATGACAAAGACAAAGCTAGGTCCTCCAGTAGAGAGGTTAGAACAAGGGTACCCTTTTTTCTGTAGTCCATTTGAGTAGGGGAACCCTCCCCCAAAAAAGGGGAGAGAAGGGCACTACTCGGGGACCTAGAAAGTAAACCTGTGTCTGTGTCGTTGTCTATGAGAAGCTCACTTCCTGAGTGGATTGGTCCAAAAAAACGTCCAAACCATAGGCGTCTTTTTAGGGGACATAAATTACCCTGGTAGATGGTTAAACCACCAGGTAAACCAGGAATTGCCCTCTATCTTTCTACCAAAACAACCAAACAGGAGACCTATGGTACAAACTTTTACCACCAACATGGCTTTCCCCAAAGGTATACAGTCCAGGAACTCGGAACCCCCCACTAAACCCCACAAGCCTAAAACCCAACAAAATGGCTAACCGCCAAGTTCAGGTGGAAGCAATCCAAGCCAAAGGGTTGCCTCACCGTCTCAGCATCCAGGAATCCAGGTCCAAGCTGAAGATGCCGTGGACAGGAACCACCCACTCCACGAGTCAGTGGAGGAAAACAACTGGCCAAGCGGGTTGAGTTGGACGTTTGTTGATTTGCAGCCATGAGGGCACCCTTTTCTGGTTAGTTTAGAAGGAAGCCAAAGGAACATCACTGATTCTAGGAATCAAAACACATATCATGACATAGTATTTGCAAAACATACTGCTTCTTCGTAGTAGTAATGTCACTTCCTGAGTGAATCGGCCCAAACAAGCCTCAATTGTCTGTTTACAATGGGTCCTGAGTGTCACTCAAGGAACTCCCGGCTGGATTACCCCTTTGTTCAAGAAGAGTTTCCAATATTTCAAGAGGATATTGGATACCCGCATGCGTAGCGATTGCATGGGTGTGTCTTTCGTGTTTTGGGAGCCCTTGTTGGTTTTAAAGGACCGCGTTGGCGGCTCTTTTTTGGGGAGGGGGAGGTCCCGAACAGTAAAACAAACACACCCACATGATGATACACCCCCCTGTTTTTCTTTTTAGGAGCCCCTTGGACCTTCTTTGAGGCCTTGGAGTTTCCAGGCGCTCAATTTGGCTCCCAGGGTCTGGGGGTTCCCACGCCTGGCGTGCCGTAGAGTCCGCCTCCAGCGTTCGAGGACAATCCGTGAGGTGCTGCCAAATCACCCACAAATATTGCCTCGGATCGGCGCTTGCTTGCTTTTGGCTGCGCCTCTTTCTGCGCTAGGCTCGTTGATTCTCAAGGGATATATTGGAACCCGCTTGCCGAAAAGGAAACTGGGACAGCTTTAATTATTGTTGGCCCCCCCCCCGCATAGAAAAACACAGGAACAAGATCGCCTGTTTGGTTGGTTGTTCTGTGAAGGGAAATCCTTCCCCCGCTCCTCCGAAAAGCACAGGAACAAGGGCGCCAGTTTGGTTGCTTTTTGAGGGAAACTCGCCTTACCCCTAGTTGGTGGTGAGCATTGGTAAAGAGCATTGGTGGTGAGCATAGGTGGTTTGTAAGTTCCCCATATAGACTCTAAAAGAACAAGGCGTCAGATCTCCAGTTCCCACCGGACCAATTCGATGTAACCCTTCCCCATGGAAACTAGGTTCTTCAGTAGAGAGGTTACAATAAGGGTACCAACCTTTTTTTTTCTCCTGTAGTCTATTTGAGTAGGGGAACCCTCCCCCAAAAAAGGGTAAAACGCCACTACTGGGGACCTAGGCCAGGATGAAACAAGGGGATGCTCCTCTTCAAAATCTTGGCCACGGCAGCGGGTGGCTGCGGGGCACCGAACCCCCCCCCAACAAAAACAACAACAACGGAAAGAACCCCCCCCCAAAAAAAATGGGGAAAAACAAACAAGAAAGAAAACTGCCCTCCCCCACACAAAAAAACAGTTTGTTTCAGAAAACCGACCCCCCTGCCCCCCAAAAAAAAGAAGAACAAAGGAAAATACAATGCTCGCCATGGAAAACGGGAGAGCATCCGGTTGCAAGACCCAGTTGCCCCGAGCCGATGAGGACGCCCTTCACCTAAGGCGCAAGGACGCGCAAGGATGCGCAAGCCATGGACCGGGCTCCTTGGCTGTGGCATTGGAATTTTGCTGTGGGAATGATAGATCCTTTGTAGACCACGCTGAGTTTTTTTGACTGTTGGGTTGTTGGGTTTAGGGTTTGGGCTTGTTGGGCCCCTTCCAGTTGCTTAAGCCAACGGGAAAAAAAGGAAAAACGATATCCAGCAATGATCGATTCCCTTTAAAACCAACAGGTGAATCAAATACTATGCTTAAGCAAATGGAAGTACGGTTGTGTCTTGGTGGCTGTAAACGAAAACCAAAAGGAACACCTCCATTTGGGTGTCCCTAAAAAACACATATCCATAATTCCCGTGTATATATCAAGATCACTTCAAACTAGCCCTGCACGTGTAAACCCTTCTCCTTGCCCAACAGAATGCCAGCCCCTCCCTTTTGGTCTTGTGAGTTCTGCCTTGCCAATTAATGACTACCATTCACAAGTCCGCACGTTTTAGCTGAACCTTTTCGCGGACATTGTGAGCATTGACGTCCCCGGCAATACTAACCAACCATGGCTTGCCATGGTTTCAAAGTGGTGCGAACGGTTTTTGTCCATCCACAGTAAGCTCCCCAGCAAAGGACCTTGATGAATCTCTTCTTGCCTCGAATCGGCTTGAAGAACTTTCCCGGAACCAGTGGGTTCTCACGAGAAAGCCCCCGCCTTCCGTTTTGGACACTACAGGAAAGCCCAAACCAAACAACGGAAAGTTGTCCATTCAAGGCCAGACCCTTGGTTCCTGGTTTTCCCGATTTCCCCTTTGTTGGTAGTTTCGAGTCGTAGAAGTGCATGGGGTTTGGGAGACTAGCATCAAAATGGCTTGCTGTCCAGTTCTATGGTACTCTCACTTGCTCAAAGGTAACAAAAGGCTACGCAACCTTTTCGAATTTTCGAACCTTGTACTATTTTTTCAAAAAAAAGAGGCAACACAAAAATAAATAACATTGGGCAACCGAAAGGTTAAAAGGTCGAGCAGTTGGTCCCTCCCACCAACACGGAACCTGACAGGGGTGCTGGAAGAACATTTTCTCCTTTAAAGGGACGATTTCCCCGTCAGGTTCATCATGTGAATTGGTGGGAGGGGCCCTCCCACCAAACAAAACTGGGCTGCCCTCAGATCCCCGGCTCAAAGTCTAACATTTAGTGGGTTAAATGGAAACTACCACCAAACACTAGAAGGCTAAAAGGCTAAGCAACCGGATAGCTGGGAGGGCACCAAACAAAAGACACTACCGAGCAATACCCGACCCAAACCAAACCCACGACGTGCCACGACGCAACTTGAGTCACAATCAAAACCTGGTACAAAAATGGTGAACCCAGAACCATGCTTCAAGAATTAGAAAGGCGGCAACTATTTCCAGCTGGCCCCTTGCTAACCTTCATCTCCCCGGGGTTTGGATTGCTCACTTGCAACTGGGTTGCCATACCCGACGCCAAGCCGGCGCCCACGCGGCCATCTAAATCCTTGGATCCGGCGGCAGCGTGCACGCGCCGCAGATCGAGCCTTAGCTCACTCGAGCGGAGTCCAAATCCATTTGTCTGAAAAAACGAGCATCCGATTGATTCCCTTCAAAACCAGGGGAAAACAGAACATATCTCACTTCCTGAGCGGATTGGCCGAAAAACGCCCTGGAACTCGTCATTTACCACTAAAAGGTCTTCCAGAAAAGCCGTGCAAAGTCCTGGAACTCGGCAAGTGAGTTTGGTTTGACCCTAAAAGGCAAGCCGATACTCCCCACATACCATGGAGCCCAAAGCCACAGCAGGCATCTTCTTGAGTGCCCCCTTCCATAAAAGAATATGCTGGGGCGTGGGATACGTCGTTCATCACTCTTAAGACTCTTAAGCTTTACAGATTCCAAGGCTTAATCCACGTTTCTAGGGGTACCTTCCATTTCCATTCTTTCCAGGGATCCTTCTTTTCAGCATCAAAAACCCAGGGGAAACAGATCCGGTTTTTTAAAAGAACGATGGTTGAAAAGAATGGAAAAGGAATCAACCCCTAGAACGTTACTCAAAGTTGACTTGGCCTCCATTGGCCAAGTCGGCCAAGTCGCATTGGCTTGGGCCGCGCGAAGCAGATGCACCGTAGGGCATAGGCCACAAACGCCAGGCAGGCCACGCGGCAGTGCCGCGCCATTGCCGCCGACTCGGTCCCCTGTTCAGCTTGGGTCCCACCAAGCGTCTTTGTCTAGGTCCTCCAGTAGAGAGGTTAGAAAAAGGGTGCCAACATTTTTTCGGTAGTCCGTTTGAGTAGGGGAACCCTCCCCCAAAAAAGGGGAGAGAAGGGCACTACTGGGGGACCTAGAATACTGGGTGGCTGTTGCTCTGCGCACTTAACAAAAACGCGTTGGTTGATTCGTTGGAACGAACGCGCCAAAAAGTTAAAATGCCAAAGAGTTAAAGGTTAAATATCCAGCCGAATATCAGGCCAGAATGCTCCCAAGCACAAAGCTTGACAAGCCATTGCCTACGTGCAGAACGGTGTCCCAATGCTTCGATTTGAGCCGAACTGCGCACATCTTGCCTGAAAAACTCGCTTCCATGCCGCAGACGGACTTCATCTCAGAAATGTATGCGGCGCATCTCATTTGAAAGTGGAACCTCTCCCAAAGAACGTCCGGCATCTTTGGTCTGGGATTCAGTTGTCACCATTCAAACCATGGGGGAAAAAACTTGCTGGTGCGATAGCTGGGGAATGTGGTTCACCACCACCCCCAAGGACCTCAGTGAGGCGAGACCCCCTCCCCCCCCCTGAAAGAATTGTTGTATTGGCCAGTTGCTCGGTGGAATTCCTTCTGTCAAAGGTCGATCTGCAGTAACCATCAACACAACTTCTGAAACCCCATCAGGGGGAACGAACGCAGGAATTGGTCCCCTTGAAGGACCCCACCAGTTGGATGCTTAGGGGCATTCCAATTCGCATGTTCTGCCTATCGCACCATCCAGTCCTGAGTCAATCAGTGAATTCAATGACCCCGAAATAAAAACTATGCCATACTGTGGGTTTTCTTTTTTATTCGGGAATCCCCAAAACCGGTTCATTCCTTCCCAACACTCAGGCTCGTTGTTGGTCCTTCCCTACCGCAGCAGCAAGTACTTTCATGGCGCTTGAAGCCCAAGGCCGACCTATGCTAAATCCCAGCCCGTGCCTGTCCGCAAAGGAAGCGAACCACCTCCGCACACGCCCTATCCTGAGCCACGCGTCTGGGTTTGTCTCATAGGCTGACTGCCCCACATCAAATGGGGAAGCTTCCCTTTCTCACTTTTCCTTTTCTCACTTCCTCAGAAAAGCTTCCCAAAAAGTGACGAAGGAAATGGAACTCAGGAAGTGAGATTCAAACCAACCTGAAGGGTAACTCACAAAGACCAAGTCATCATGTCTCTGGTTCTGTCGTATACCCTGAAATACCCCCGACTTGCCCAAGTAAGGGAATGCTTTGTCAACCCTTGACCAAAAAAAGGATCCGTATTTACCCTGGAAAACCAGCTAGGTTTCTAACAAAAGTACCCTAAACAAGCTGGGTATTGGGAGCATGGGGTATAACATAGTTTTGGAATCCCAGGAAAACTTGTGGTCTTGCAACCAAAGATTTGGAATTCAGGTTGGACTTGGAGTATCGCAATCCATGGGAATCCGATGGCATTAGTGTAGCGACTCGTCCGACAGGTGGAATACTCATTTCGTTCCACCGCCCAACATGATCATTGATACTTCTGGCACCCTCCAGCAACTGCTTTGCGGTTGCCGTACTGGGAATGTTGGACATGAAAACCCGTTGTTGGGACCCAGGTGCTGGTTGAAAAAAAACAATCAATTACAATTGTGCAAGAAAAAAATAAACTCACTTCCGGAGTAGATTGGCCAGAAAAAGTAACCAAATCTTTTGATTACCACTAAAATGTAAAGTCCAGGAACTCAGGAAGCGAGACGACATGCAACCGCATCTTTCCCGATCGAAGTTTGGGTAAGGATCACTGCAAGGAAGCTGACCGCGCGGGCACTACTGATTCAGATTGGGGATCCCCCCCATTTTGGCACCCACCCCCGAAAGCTTTTTGGAGTAGAGGGTTCCACATGACGCGCCTCAAAAACCAGGTCTTTGCACAGGTGGCCTTTTGGAAAGATAGATGGCCCTGGCAAATGGAACAACACCCATCTAAACCAGTGCCATCCATTTTCAACCAAACTCGCCTAAGGACGCCTATGGGTCCTTGGAGGTTCCCTTCCGGGCACCAGAAGGCCTCTGGGTTTAGAGGCCCCCGGCCAAGCGCACCGCCCGGGAAGGAGACGATGGCTCCTCAGCGAGTGGAGTTGTTCTGCTCACCTTCGAATCAAACACCCGAAGGCGCATAGCCCCTCCAATGCAGGCGCCCGGGCCTTTCGTTGAAGAACCCGCCCAGGGCCATTGAAAACAACAAAAATCAAGGGCCCAAAACAATCGGGAGCCTTAGGCCATGTCTGAGACAGTTTTTGAAAGTACCACGTTCGGCAGCTCTCTCTCTCTCTCTTCGGATGGCTGGCTGCTGAAGCACAGGTCAATAAGCGCGTGTCTTATATAGAGGAACAGCGCCGGGCCCAAACTGATCCCCCGCTGAAAGTGAGTAACTTTTGGCAGAAACTACCACTAAACACTAAAAGGCTAAAAGGCAAAGGAACCGGATGGCTGGGAGTCGCAAAGGTTCAACTCCCAATTTGACCCTGGACATTTGGACCGAACCTGGCATGATTCAACCCCCTGCGAGAGCCGCAAAACGGCTTTGTTTTAGGCGATGTGTCAACCTACGGAGCAATTCACCTGGGAAACCAAAAGACATCTTGCTCCACATGAGCAGCGCCTGGGGTTGGAAGTTGGAAGGTCCTGAACACATCCGAAACAGGCCGCTGAAACCAAGCTGTTAAGCCTGAATCACTGATGACTGATGCGTGTTGCAAGGGGCAACATCCTCATATGATCATGGCATGGTGTCAATCCCCTACTTCGCCCCTTTGAACTTATTTCGGCCCTTAGAACGCTTGGTTCTTTAGAGACACCTGAGAGGACCTGATGCCAAAGCGCGACTCAGGATCCAGCTTTCGTTAAGATTGAAAGGCAGAAATGGAGCCCCAAATGATCGCAACGACCGGGGTCGACGAGCAGGGGGCTCATGAAATTGTGTTTGGATGATGCCATGATCAACGACCTCCTTTGCGTCAAGCAGCGCCTGAACCTTTTGTTGCTTGACTTCAAATGGGCCCCACCCCCTCCAAAAAAGAACCAAGGGCTCGCAACCCCTCGGAAATTTCGAATCCCGGCCTGGGGGTTGGTCTCCTTTTGCTCCCCGAACTCATCTTCCTGGCCGGAAGGTATACCGGGCTCAACCTGGGCATTGACTTTGCGAAGAGGGTATGAGAATAAGGTGCCAGGTTGTCATACGGGGGCCGGGCAGGAAGGTTTGAGTACGGGGTATGATTCGCAGGTATGATTCGGGGGTATGATTCGCGGAAGCAGCAGCAGCAGCAGCAGCAGCAGCAGCAGTAGTAGTAGTAGTAGTAGCAGTAGCAGTAGTCGTCGAAGTAGTAGTACTAGAAGTAATATTGTCGTAGTAACAATAGTAGTAGTAGTTAGTAGTAATAGTAGTAGTAGTAGTAGTAGTAGTAGTAGTAGTAATATTGTAGTAGTAACAATAGTAGTAGTAGTAGTAGTAGTAGTAGTAGTAGTAGTAGTAGTAGTAGTACTAGTAGCAGTAGCAGTAGTAGTAGTAGTAGTAGTAAAAAGTAGTGGCAGTACTCGTAGTAGTAGTAGTAGTACTAGTAGAAGTAGTAGTAGTAGTAGTAAATAGTAGTGGCAGTAATCGTAGTAGTAGTAGTACTACTAGTAGTAGTAGTAGTAGTAGTAGTAGTAGTGGTAGTAGTAGTAGTAGCAGTAGTAGTAGTACCAGTAGAAGCAGCGACTGTAGTGGAGCGGAAGCTTTGAAAAGACTTGGCGCTGGACTTGGCAAGGCAAGTTCATTGCGCGGGTATGATTCGGGTATGATTCGCGGGTATGATTCGGCTAGGTGCAAAACGGCACTGATTACAAACTCAGAATGATGAATGTAGTAGTAGCTGTGGTAGTAGTAGTAGGAGTAGTAGTAGTAAAAAGTAGTGGCAGTACTCGTAGTAGTGATAGTAGTACTAGTAGAAGTAGTAGTCGTAGTAGTAGTAGTAGTACCACTAGCAGTAGTAGTAGTAGTAGTAGTAGTAGTAGTAGTAGTAGTAGTAGTAGTAGTAGTAGTAGTAGTAGTAGTAGTAGTAGTAGTTAGTAGTGAGGGTAGCAGAAGTAGAAGCAGTAGAGTAGTAGTAGCAGCGGTAGTAGCGGTGGTAGTGGTAGAAAAATCGTAGTCGCGGCAGTAGCAGTAGTAGTAGTAGTAGTAGTAGTAGTAGTAGTAGTAGTAGTGGTAGTAGCAGTAGTAGTAGCAATTGGAGTAGTAGGAGTAGTAGTAGTAGTAGTGGTGGTGGTGGTGGTAGTGGTAGTGGTAGTGGTAGTGGTAGTGGTAGGGTAGTATTGGGTAGCGCTGGTGGTGGTTGTTGTGGAGGCAGTGAACAACGCACTACGCTAGAAGAACAGTAGCATCTTGCAGCATGCGTTTTAAGGGGTATGATTCGGGGGTATGATTCGGGGTATGATTCGGGGGTATGATTCGGGGGTATGATTCGGGGAGGTCCCACCTTCTGCCTTTTGAAGCAACTCAACACACCCAAAAAGCACAAACCCACATGTATATGTATGTATATTTATACACATAATAGGTAAGGCATATATATATATATCTATACCTATATCTATATATATATATATATATGTTTGTTTTTGAGGGTACTTAGTCGGGATTGGTGGAAAGCGATGTATTTTTGTTTAACGTTTTTATAGGGGGCCGGTCATTTTGGGGGTTCTTTGGAAACGTAACCCACGCCATCAGTTGATTTCCATAGGTCTGGATCGAAGATGTTCCGCTGAGGTCCGAGGATTCGCTCCGGAAATCGCCTTTGCAGTGCCCCCAAAAAAAATCCAACGCTTATTTTCCGCGTATAGTGTCAGCTCTCTGCTAAAACATGAGGTATTTACTGTGGAAAACCCCGTTGAAGAAAAACAGAAGAGAGAGTAGCCTTGGAAAGCG